TCCAATAAGTTTCTTTGTGCTGTGATAACACACTGCCAAAGCTTCAGAGCTCTGGCATGGACATCACATCTGTGGGACAGAAGTTGTCTCGCTTGCCTCTCCCAATCCCAAGGCTGCAGCTCAGTGAAGACCAGAGTCAGGAAAGAACATGTAATGTTGAAAACCTCTGTTCACAGATAGTTGAGCCCCATTCCAACCCCCAGGATCCCTGTATGACCTTTTTGTCAAACTCCCAACCATGGCTGCCTGTATCCAGCCTTGAAACCCATGAATGCAATCTTGATTCACAAGTAGTGCATGCTTCAGGTCGATAAAGATTCTTAGCCAGTTTTAAATACACATAGTTATTATTTTTGCTACAATTGCTATGTTCAGTCATAGCACATCTCAACCAGACGTCCTTACAACACGTTTTAGGAGTAACTCAGGTCTGGTATTGTTGTTTCTACCACATCCACTGACCAGTGGGGATGAACTGTTTTAGTGCCTGCCTTGCCCAGCTTTGTCCAAAGAGATTCTGAGAATGTGTACATCTCAAGATTCCTATGAATTCCTCTCATACCCTTTGCCACAGTGGGTGCCAACAAGAGAAAAAACACTAAAGGTCATGCCTTTTCCATAGTCCAGCATGTTACCAGATCTATATAAAAGGTTGGAGTTTCTTGGATGGTTGGGGTGTGAGTTTAACAGAAGAGAAGGTGTGGTAGGCTGTAGAGGGAGATGGCACCCACTGTCTTATCTCCAGACACACGTACTGAAGGGTGCCTTCCCCTTTGGGTGTGTGCAGCTTTGTGGATGTGGTGGGGTTCACTCTTGTGAAGGTCACATTATCGGGCAGAAGCAAAGGGATTATTTTAGATATAATTTTTTTCTTTTTTATGTATATGGTACAGGGTCTCACTGTGCAGCTCAGACTCATAGTGATCCTCCTGTTTTCATCCTCCCTAGCACTGGGATTACAGGTTTGGGCCACCATGCCCAGTCCTGGTGGTCAGCTCAGCATGCCTAGGGGTAGGGCTGGCATGGTATGTAGTTAAACCCTGAGCTCTGTGCTTGCCTAAGCAGGTGCTTCATTCACTGAGCTATCTTCCCAGCATGTTTTAGATGTAGTTAAGGTTCCCTAATTATTGCGTTAATCACAGAGACATCCCTGGTGAGCCTGAACTAATCAGGTGAGTTTTGAAACAGAAGTAACCTCTACTTAAAGGCAGAGATTTTCTTGTTTTGTTTTTTGAGATAGGGTCAGCTCAGGCTGGTCTTGAATTTATTATGTAGCATAGGCTGGCCTTGAGCTCACAATAGTCCTCCTTCCTCAGCCTCCTGAATACTGGGACTACAGATATGGGCCACCATATCTGGCTAAAGGTAGAGATTTGAGGAATGTTAAAGATTATCTTCCTGGTTTTGTAGAGGACCTAGGGCAGGCTCTAGGAACTGAGAATGCCTCTTGGACAATGTCCAGCAGCGAATGTGGACCTCAGTCCTGTAAAGGAAATGACTTCTGCCAAGAATCTGAATAACTCTGGAAGATACCTCCTTTAAAGCAGAGGTGGCAGCCAAGTGAAGCTCCTGGCTTCATCCTCCATGTGGGCTCCTGCCAATGGTATCACCCTATCTGCCACGGTCGAGCTGGCATGCTGCCTCAGGCCATGGCGAATATAGGATGAGCAGACAGCTGGTGACACCGGGACTTCAGCCCAGACAGGAAGCAGCTACCCATAACTGAACCCCTGGCCCGGAGAAACTGTAAAATAATATGTGTTTGTTGTTTTAAGCCTCTATATTTGTGCTGATTTCTTAACAGCAATAGAAACACGAAGATAACGGAATTTCATTCTGAGGTTTTATGGGTGATGTGCAAAGGCCATGAAATCACAGAGAAACCATCTTTACCACCACAAGCAGGAACGCGGCACAATGACCCCATTGCCCCTGAGCAGTGGACCCTCTTGGATCAAGGACTACATAGAGCCAGAGGTTTTAATAGGTTGCAACAGTTCCAAGACTTAGTACTTAAGCAACTTCATGGTGCCTCAGACACAGGGAAACTTCAGGGGCAAAATCAAATGCAAGCCTAGGCTGCAAATGAAGACAGTGACTTCAGATCAAGCCCAAGATACCTGCCAGTACAGAGCAGGACTTGCTGTAAATCACACCCTGCTTTTCATGCAGTAAAGTCAGCATCGTCTCTCAGTTGTGTCTGAACCAGGGAACAAAACCGAGGGGCCTTGGACATAGTCACCTGAACCAAGGCCGCACCGGGGTCAGGGTCAGATTATAAAGAATGCTAGTAGGAAATTCAACAGACTGCAGAAGGAAAACCTTATACAGGCTCAGCAAAGCCTGGAGCCAGTGATGAGGTAGAGTCACTGAGCGACGAGCAGTGATGATGTGACAGCTAGGTCTAGAGCCATTCCAGGCAGGTGACCTTTTCCGTGTGCACAGAAAGCACCGCTGACTGCTGCGCGCAGAGCAGGTGACTCATCCACTAGCCGTGGGGGAAACGTACATTTAAAATGTTGTGAGAAAGTAACTCCCCCATCTTACAGAACCTCCCGAAGCACCGAACTCATTATGAAACAGAGTGGCTTGGGACATCATTATAACTGACATCACTCAGGACATTTTCTGCTTTCAGGTAAGAAGCCGTGAAGAGAGCTGTATCATTTTGGTGAGCATATTATTTATCTTGAATAACTCTAATTTTTAAAGATTTCTTAATTTTAGTTCTTGGTTCTGAGAGCAAATCACTCCTACTTTGAAGGACACTAAAAGCTCGAACATTTCTCCATGGAAGGAGGAGGTCCCCAAGTGCTGATCCTCACCCCTGTGAGTCCTCCTCAGAAAACATTCTTTTCACTTTGATCTAGTTAATTTTGTCACCTGCATAACTGGTGTCCAAGATATGCCTGGCCCCTTCAGCTAGCAGTAGAGAAAATCCATTCTCCAGGCTCTCACCAGGGAAGAAACATTTATTTTTCCCTGTGTGCCTCCAGTTAGATTCCTCCTGAAAGAATTGAGCGATGTAATTAGGAGAACACAGCCCACTCATTCTTCTTGGCTATCTAAGCCTACCAAGTTAGAGGTCTGGTCCTGAATCTCTTGAGACTGTGGTCCAGAGGGGTGAGGCAGAAGACGCCTTCCTGCTCGCCTGGCTTTAGGAGCACACATGAACTGGACCAACTCACAGCCCATCACAAGATCCCCATGGCTGTGAGCTGTACCTTGAGAATACCTAAGGTAGTGATCCAAAAGCCACATCACCCAGGGCTTCCCTATCTTCCTCCTAACTTTCCACCTTCCATGTGAAATGCCTTCACTACATTGTTAGACTTGTTGATACTGTACCTTTAGTTTTCATGAAGAGTGGATATAACAGGAGAGCTGGGGACATAGCTCAGTGGTGGGGTGCTTGCCTAGCATGAGTGAGGCCTTTGGTTTTCAGTACAGAAAAACAAACAAAAACAAAACAAAAAACAAAGAAAAAAGGAAAAAAAAAAATACAAGAAGAAGAGTTACCCTGATAAACTTGCACTGATGAAGACAGTATACTTTCTCTTTGATTAAGAATACAGGAGGGCCGGGGAGATGGCTCAGTGGAATAAGCGCTTCCCTGGAAAGTGCAAGGGGTTGAGTTCAATCCCCGGTTCCACCAAAAAAAAAAAAA